TTGATTCTACGTGTCTGGATACGTCTATGCTTAATATTATTTGTAAGCAAAAAACCTGCCTTAGGACATCGGCCTAAGCTTAAGTCTAAACCTAAATGCCTAATACTAAGCAGAAACCTAAGCAAAAACCTATGCCTAATCAGAAGCCTAAGCCCAAGTCTAGCCCGCCTTGATAATCTCATCCTCCCTATACCCGTTCACCAACACGCAATTCCCCAGTTTGATTGGATGTAATCTCCCCCCAACAACTTCGCCCTGGGCCCTTGTCCAGGACCAACTGACACCCAATCGGACATGCCTCCAAACCACCACCACCCCAGGCAGATACCTCTCTGATCACCGGGTCAGCCGGCCGCACAGAAAAAAACGGCAAAAACATGAATATTGCTGACAAGCCGATTGATGCCCACCAGCACACAGCACAACCCACCTCAAAAAGCCCCCGACAGGTCCCCGGGCCGGAGGAATGGAAGCAAAAAATGAGGATCGCATGGGATTGGAGGTGGCTGGGTGGGTAAATAGGAATTTTTAAGGGCTTTGAGGACCAGGAAACTGGATACAATTTTTATTCAGATCAAAAATCAAGTTAGAACTGTTACAGTTATCAACGAAAATGGCGAAAAATGAGCCTAAGCCTAAGCCAAACCTAAGCAAAGACTAAACCTAAGCCTAAGCCTAGCATATGTCCAATAGAAATTTATAGCTGATAAATACCAAAGTGTTGTGTGTAATTACATAACGTTAACGCTAAGGTTGCTAAAATTCGTTAAAAATGTCAAAAACCGAGAATTCCGCTTTTTACTACCTTCCTGCTGCAGTGCAAACTTTTTCCGCGGGGCTATAGGTGGATGCACTTTTGTGAAGGTCATGAAGCAAGGTAATTTTAGTGGATAGTTAATTTAGAATATACTTAGCTTTAGTGGACCGAGATTCCAATGACAAATTTCGTGCTTGCTCCCGACCCCAACCCTCGAGTAAGCCTCCCTTAAAAATTCATCAACACGCGTAGGTCGACCCAAAAACTTGGGTATGGGGACTAGAGTTCAGAATTTTTAGGGAGGTTAGGCAGCTTTTATGGTAGTAAATATAAAAAAATTTAAACCTTTAAAAATTTGGCGAACTCCGGAATTTCAGGTGGTTTCAAACGTTAGAAAAACACGACTTTGACGGTAAATTTAGGTAATCCCGACGATGGGGTATTTAATTTGTTTTTTAATGTATGTAGAAAATCGAAAAATCAATTATTAAGTAAATCAAATGAACTCGCCAGCTTGCCGCTGCGCGCCCACGCCCACGTAGGGCATCCCCGGGTCTTTGAGCGGTTTTTTCTGAAAAGCAGATGGTAATTTTGGGGAGCTACGAGAGATGACCTACTTCCATTCCGGAAAATGTCCGAATTTATTTTTAGAGTTTAGGACGAGGTTCAGGCCGAATAATCAAAATTGAAGGCCACCGACTGGCGGTCAGATCGGCTAGCCGACAGCCAGGGGTCAACTGATAAGCCGAAAGGCCGAATGATTCGAGGAAATTGAGATAGTAGGCTTTAGACGGGCAAGCTGTGATTTTTGGATTTAAAAACAAATTTTTAAGCGTTTCTAGGGATTCTAAATTGAGACTTTTTTGCCCATTTTTGAAGATTATCTGCACGTCATGAAGGTGAGGGTGAAAATCGCGAGATCAACGTTTCAGAAGCCATGTTTTTAGTAAAAAAAAAACGACCAAAGTTGGCCAACGCTAAGCACTTGGCTTTCTGGGGTCCAATGCCTTTAATTGCGCCATGTGTAAATGAGGAGATTCGACGGATAAACGAGGCGCCAAACAGCTGTCCTACCGGGCCCCTACGCCCCTCGATTTCCCGCCAACCCAACCCAAACGGATCCAACATGCCCAACACACGCCCAACACAAAACGGGAAAAGCCTGCAAAATTGCATGTGGTCTAGTTTTTACATATTGAAAAATGGCAAAAGCGGATTTGTGAGGAATTCGACCGGAAACGCTTCGAAATAACTGGTCGAACGTTTCCCAATTTGCAAAATTTCCAAACACTTAAAAATGTACTTACCCCAAAAATTTAAAAGAACTTTAAATTTCACGGCATTGAATCGTATCTAAATTTGAACCTTTGTGACAATGAGAAAGGGTACAAAACCAGAAACCCCCTCCCCCTGTCCAACCCCATAGATTTTTTATTGTTCTAAAACACGTAAGAGCAATCATTTCGCTTGTTTGCGGATCATGCTTTTATTTTAAATCGCTTTAAAATGCCATATAAACGAAAAGTCAAACAATTCGCTCCTAGGCAACGCAAGGGAAGTTGAATGTGGTGCATTTGCCGTGGCACTCGATCATTGGTGGCCGGCATTTTCCGGAACTTATGAGCTTGCCTTCCCCCAATTTCTCGGATAGCTGAAATTGTTTCTTTTATTTGAAGTTATCTCTTCTATGTTAAGAGGCCTGTGTGACACGCCTAAGTTCATATAGCAATATCCGAACCTCCGAGGAGCACGGCAGATCCGTCGACACGCACTTTGGGCCGCAGTAACGATAACCCTTACTGCATGGCTTCTGCAAGAATTTGGGTTTAGGTTAGCTCTTAAGCTTTGCTTAGGCTTAGACCTAGGCTTAGCCTTAAGCTCAGGCTTAGGCTTAGGCTTATGTCCTAACCCTAGAAAACCTACCTGAGTCGTTACTTTCGACGTTGCTGTCACTTTCGCCTTTGTCATCACTGCCACCTTTGTCGTCCCTTTCGCATTTGGCGTCACTTTCGCGGCCGCCAGCAGTCCGAGAATCAAAAGGAGCAACAGGATGTGTCGCAACATCTTTGAAGAGAATGTTTCCTATGCTGTTGCGATAGCCTCCATAGCCCACGTCTCAATTTCAATTCAAAAACATTCATAAAATCGAATGTGGTGCATAAAATGTCGAACTCTCGTGTCGGTCGGTTTGGAAGCTTTGTAAGATTCAGAATTTTCAATATCTTTGCAAGCTTCCGTGCGCTTTGTTGATATAAATTGATGATAAAATCTTTATCCAGAATTGCTGCTAGAATTCTGCGGCCGTGCCAGGAGAATCACACTAATTTTCGAGTTATTTTTTGATTGTAGATCGGCCAATCGCAGAAAGGCCAATATCTCACCGCGCATCTGAAGAAACCCGGTTAAAAACCCAGATACTACCGACCTTTTTGAACATGAAAAAGGTGACCCAGGCCACACCGATGAAGTGGAGATCGGTGCCGACTTTGAAGAAGTAGTAGAAGCACCAGACGGGCCAGATTTGGCCGTGCCATAGGAACCAGGGTAGTAGTTGGAGGCAGACGGTGATGCAGGCCACGATTGAGCCTAAGCTTTGACATTCCAGCTTAAACTCGGTAGTTGCTCACCCGTGCATGAAAGCATTGCCGCGATTGTCGCTTTGTAAATTCTTCGATTGCGTTGATTCTAAAGAACGACTTGAAACATCTGCACAAACAGTCTATGGCAGCATATTTCATTTCAAATCACGGACCTGTCCCTTGAGCAACGCCGGCAACCGCGTCAAAATATACGCGTAAATGAGCACGTTACTAGCTGTTAACCCATTCGGAGCCATTGTAAGAACATTATAATAGATCCTTAATGGCTCGGGTGCCGTTGACAAGCTCCATTGATACGCAAACGATTCGTCAATCGTATAAGATGCAGCTGTGTCGATTGGGTAGATTATTGGAATGCACGAAAGGAGATAAAATACCCAGACGAGTTTGCTGAACGTCTCCAGCCAGGCGGCTTCCTAAATGTCATGCCTTTCCCTCACCGCCCACTTTAAAAACTGACCTTATCGACCACCGTAATATTTCTAATTACGAATAACCTTGTTACGGTAAGTACGCACAACCAGAAAGTCGATTGGATTAGGAACCCGATTTCACTGATCTTAACCAAGAAACTTGTTTGTTTTAAAAACAGGGTCTCCTTTCCAGAAATTCAAAGTTTTTCGAAAATATTTACATAGGCGATTTTCCCGATCCAGTGAGCATTCGCAAAGTAAAACTCCGAAAATAGTCCAAGATTCGCCGGCTCATTGATGAAAAATGCGGCCATTGAATGGACCAGCAGACAGATACCTTAGAAATGTAACGTTTTATTAGCGTTCGTCATTGGCAGTGTATAGTTTTTACTTACTCAAATTTCGCAGACAAATCAAAAATGTCTTCCCCGTTTCGTTAGCATCAATGTTCCGAGTAGCGTAAAGAATGGCAACGTATAGGGGAATTGTCAATAACATCACGATGTCGAGAAGTATAGAGCAAATGAGATATAGAAGGTACATCGCTAAAGCAAGGCTAATTGTAAGTCAGAACCAGAGTGACTATTTGGAATCCTATCCTACTATATATAAAAAAATAGTGTCTGTGTGTGTGTGTGTGTGCATTTGCATGCAACTTCCGTCACCGTGTTCCAGTAGTATCTCAAGAAGGGAAGTACTTAGGGATATGTTTGATACGTCATTAGGTGCGTAATGGGCTGGAGATGACTGCACACATATCAGATTTTACAAAATATGCTGTTTTCGACATTAAAATTAAGTTTTTCATGGAAAATGGGACACCCCTCTTTGTTAGGATAAAATTAGCATACACCGGAAGTCACGGTAGCCTATATAAAGGGGTGGTGGAAGCATTTTTCATTTTTCGTTATCCGAATCCGCGAAAATTATGCAAAGCCAAGAATATCATGGTCGCAGACGGGGCCAGGGTTGAAAAGTCGCGAAGCGGCTTTTCAACCCTGGTCTTTTTGAAAATAACTTGGGAATCAGCCACAAACTCTCCACTAGAAAAGGGGGCTAGGTGCGATCGCTTGACTTTAAGTGGTTTCCCTGCGAGTAATTCCGGGTCAAAACCCTAGCAAGGTGCCACTTTCAGGCCTATAATTTGCCCTTTCAAAAAATTTTTGCCCATTGCATTCAAGTGGGAGGGAAAATTCGACTCATATTCTGCGCGTATTTAAGGGAAAAATCAAATAAATTTTGGGGAGCAAGATGCAATAGATTTTTTTGCTAGCATATTCCTTACAGCTTTTCGTTTGAAACCTTCCAACGAAGAAGCGGAAGGGAGGCTTTGTCGCGAGATACCGCCACCAGGGCCGTAACAAACCCAAATTTCGGGGGGGGGGGGACCCCAAAAATTTTTCACTAATATAACTAAAACTACAGCGCCGCAGGCAAAATTTTTGAAAACATAGGGTTTATAACACTAAAACTAGTGTTAAAAATAGACAAAAACAGCGCCGCAGGCAAAAAATTTTTTGGAAAAATTAAATCATAAGGGTCCCCCTTATGAACTTTTCGGCCTTCGGCCGATTTCGGGGGGGCGGCTCGCCTCTCTCCCCCCTCTTACGGGCCTGACCGCCACCATTTGGCTTTACTGCACCGTATCGACCTTTAGTTAAGAAACATAAGCATTAGAATGGATGAATGTGGATATAAATAGTGTATAAAGGTTGAATCCCCTCGATCCATTTGTGAGTTCAGCGCCGAGGTTGTATGCCTTTTCGGGGAACTATACGAACAACCTCAGAAGGTTTGAACAAGAAAGAAATGTCAGAAACTTTATGACGAGTTACTACTGGAATCTTGCGGTCGAGATAGCAAAATGACACCGATTTTCATGTTGTTTGAGGTCGGGTCGGCCAGGTGAAGGAAGGCCAGCATTTCGCCACGAATCTGGAGGAATTCCTTTGCTAAAAATTAAGGTTGCTGACCTTCTTGAACATGAAGAAAGTCACCCAGGCGAGGCCGATGAAGTGGAGGTCTGAGCCGATTTTGAAGAAAAAGTAGAAGCACCAGACGGGCCAGATTCGATCTTGCCATAGAAACCATGGGATAAGCTCGATGCAGACGGTGACGCCGGCCACGATTGAGCCTAGGCTTTGTCATTCAAGCTTAAACTCGGTAGTTGTTTACCCGTGCATGAAAGCATTGCAGCGATTGTCGCTTTGTAAATTCTTCGATTGCGTTGATTCTAAAGAACGACTTGAAACATCTGCAACACCTTCTATGGCCATTCTTTTCCTGGTGTACCTCTGGCAAATTTCATCCTATCACCCGCCATGACAAGCTCAACGTGCAGATTTTACAAAACCGCGAAACTATAGCTTTAGCCACCCTTTGAAAAGTCAAACAAACACACAAATCACGGACCTGTCCCTTGAGCAACGCCGGCAACCGCGTCAAAATATACGCGTAAATGAGCACTTTAATAGCTGCTAACCCATTCGGAGCCATTGTAAGAACATTATAATAGATTCTTAGAGGCTCCGCAGTAAGCGACAAACGCAGCCGAAAGGCAAATGACTGGTCAATAGTATAAATAGCCCCGGTATCGATTGGATAAATTATCGGAATACAGGAAAGAAGGTAGAACGCCCAGACGAGCTTGCTGAACGCTTCCAACCAAACGGCTTCCTAAAGTAGTGGCTCTTTGCTTGGCGCGCACCGTCACATCGCACCTTATCCACCACCGAAATGCTCCTAATAACTACCAATCTTGTTACGGTAAGCACGCACAACCAGAAAGTCGATTGGAGTAGGAACCCGATTTCACTGATCTTAACCAAGAAACTTGTTTGTTTTTAAAACAGGTTCTCCCTTCCAAAAATTCAAAGCTTTTCGAAAATCCTATCCTATAAGCGAGAAAAGTATGTCTGTTTTCTGTGCAGCCGATTTCTCGGCCGTCAGGCCGAATTTTGCGCTGATTTTTGGCATGGAGGTGGAGAAACACATCCTCTTTATAGGCTTTTTTTTGTTTTTTGAAATTCCTTCATTTAAGGATTTGACAAGCAAAATAGTAGAAAACCCTTAACATTTTGGCCAAAAAAAGGTTTGTTCAGAGGATATCTCGCGATCCCAATGGAATTCATCTTTAATTTTTGGAGGGCGGATTGGAAATAGAATTCTCCCGATATATAATTTTGCGTTTTGCCAGATTTTGTAAAATAAAGTTTTTATGAGCATTTTTCTAAAAATTCCTTAACAAAATGGCCGAAGTGCCGTGGTGTCCGGGTCATAACTTGAGACCCAGATGGAATTTCGGGCTGAATTTTGGACAACTTATGTATTCAATATTGGGGATCACGAGCATCTTATTATCTTTACAAATTTCCCGCATATTCAAACTCAAAAATCGAATTTTGTAAAGGGACCGGTAGGCCTCAGTCCGGGATTATTGGGTCGCCCTTTCTTTGCATTCCCCCGCCGGGATTCCCCGGAACAGAAGAGGGCTTTCACGCCGCATCTTCCGATCTGGCCCATGGTGTAGTGGGTTTGCTCCCGGTCTACCACGCGCATGGTCGTGGGTTCGGATCCTGGGAGAATTGAATTTTTTGATTTTTGGTAGTTCAGCAACAAAACATATTTCTATGCTCTAGGTGTGCGAGGTTTAGGCCTGGCTCACACTTTAGCGCCGCAGGCCAAAGAAAAGGTCCTTGACCCAGGCTCTCGCGCCGCAGGCCAAATCTTGGAGAAAAACCAGTAACTAGCGCCGCAGGCAAAAAGGTTCTAGCGCGAGGTTTAGGCCTGGCTCTCGCTCTAGCGCCGCAGGCCAAAGAAAAGGTCCTTGGCCAAGGCTCTGGCGCCGCAGGCCAGAGAATGGCCCCTTGACTCAAGTTATGCGCCTCAGGCAAAAAAAAGAAGGTATTGGAATTCATCGTTCCTGGACGGGGTCCAGTGGAAAAGGGCCGCGAAGCGGGCTTTTTCCACTGGTATTTACATAGGCGATTTTCCCGATCCAGTTAGCATTCGCAAAGTAAAACTCCGAAAATAGTCCAAGATTCGCCGGCTC